ACGTGTCACTCTTGTCTACAACACTTTTGCTCTTAAAATTAAGCCCTTCAAAACAGTGTTATCATTATTATATTAGAATGTATTCATGCCATATTTTTCTTACATTAATCAATTAGTAAAATAGTATTATAATTATAACTTAGGCTCTGATGGTCCCTTCTGTTTAGAAATAACTGAGGGAGAAGAAGGGATAAGCATATGTTTTTTGAAAGAGTAAAACATTTAGCTAAGAATCAGGTCTAACTATTGGGACTGGATAAATTAACACCTTTATTTGAGCTTCAGTTACTCTGCCTGTAATGTGGGGATAAAATATCTACTCTGCAGAATTGACTTTAGAATCCGAGATAATCACTTTGAAAAACAGACAAAAATGGAAGTGGACATATTACATGTGTAATAAAAAACTAAAACTATTTTACTTCATATCATACTCGACCACATACAACTATCTGAAACATTGTGATAAGCCCAGTTGCAGCCTAAGTAAAAGCAAATTCCAAAGACTTCATCCTGAAAAAATTTGGGGAAAATCACTTAGTAAACACTGTGTGCTTCCTCTTTCTTACTTCGTGTTTGTTTGTTTGTTTGTTTGCAAATCTCAGGCAAACCTAGATCCCTGGGCTAATAGCAATCTTCAAACACTGAATATTATATTTCTATATTCATTAGTTTCATCCTATAATTTGTATCACACACACACTCTTGCACATGGTTTATTCAAGCAACCAATCTGGCATTGCAAAGAAGAGTCGTGGGTTTGTAAGAATAGCAATTTACAGGCAACAAATGCTCATAAGACTCCAGGTCTAGATGTTAGGAGGATTCAGAGTACATAGTGTCCAGCAGCTCCTTTTTTTGTTGGTCTTCACATAAGTCTGTCAGATTCTTCTTACTTCAATGCAACAAAATCAATTTATCCCATCTCAGGACTCTCTCTGTGAGATTATGGAGCCAAAGATATCCCAAATATACCAAAAGTTTACACACTGTGCACTGCAGCTTCTGCTAATTAGAGCGGATTAAGGAACACATACAAACTGACCTAGGGTGGCAAGACTCTTTGGCCCGGCTGTGATACAGAAAGTCCTTATCCATACAGTTATTAAACATGATCAAACCATGTGTATATACAGCACAGACATAGTCTTTGCCACCAAAGACCTGTAGTTTAGTGAGAGATAAGCACAGGTAAACAAAATTTAGAAGGATAATGATAATAATAATAATGTTACATATATTGACTACTTCTTATCTGATAAACATTTTATATGGACAAATATAATGCTATTGTCATAGCGAACTAAAGACCACTTCACCATTCACCAATGAAATGATTGAGATTCAGAGATTTTTTTAGGAAACCTTTCTACAGAACGTGTTATCAGCAAGTGGCAACCTTAACAGCACACGCTTTAGAGTGAATCCCCTGGATTCAAGTGTATGCTCTAAAGCCATAGTATGGAAAGAACGGACAGCTGTGAGAACATATAGAATTTCTACTTAACCCAGAAAGTGGAGTGCGGAGGGACAGAAAAGGCCTCCCCAAAGAAGTAATGATGAAAACTTCAGACCTTCGCAAGGGAAGACATGCGTTGCAGGCACGGGTAACAGTGCGGGTGAAGAGCCAGCAATCAGAGAGAGCACACTAAAGTAGAGAAACTAAGGATGAGTTCATGTGACTGGAGCACTGAAAAGAGAGGTGGTGAGAAATAAGAATAGAAAGCAAAAAGGCAAGAGGCCTATTACGTAGAGTTTTGAAACCAAGACGTAGAGTTTAGATTTGACTATGAGAGCAACAATAGTCCATAAACACAAGGTTTCAGTAAGGAGCCTGACATAACGATAATTTTGTTTTAGTGACATCAGAGTCCGTGGTGCGTGCCTATAAGCAAAGGTCTTGAAAGCAAAGGGGAAGAAGTCAGACAGAATACTTAGATACCGATTCACAAAGCTGCCTTACTTTTGGTTCTCAAGTTCTGCACACGTCCGTGATATGTTACATCTATAACCAGATGAATCTCTAATCCCTCTGGTCAGTCCCTGAAGCCTGGCTGGAGAAGCACAGAGTGTAGGGTGTGTAATGAGAAATCCCAAAATTTCATATTAAGTCTTTGATTTCAGGGATCATAACAGGACTGCTACATAATTGAGCTGAATTGTATCGGTTTAATTACACTCTCGCCATCTTCCATATATTTGCATAATACCCTCCAATTAAAACACAAGTTTATTCTCTAAAAGTCATGGAAAGAAGCATTTGCATGTTCATGCTCCTATGTATTCCCACTGCCTAGTAAGGGGTCTATCAAATTATCAGAAGTTCCAAAACTGTCAAGTAAGGCGACTAAAAAAGAAGGGAAGGAAAGAACATTTTCTCATTTTATTTTCAAAACAATGATTTAAAGAGGACAGCAAAGAATTTGGAAAAGTTAGACCTGGTGAGCTAAAATCTTATCCACTCCCGAATGCATAGCCCTTGAGTCCCCTCAAATATGTACTCAAATTTAGCACCCAGCGTAAGAACTGAGACATAGATGGGAATGCTGTCGGAAGGATGAGTGAAAGGTTGGACCGGTGGATGGGTAATGGAAGAATCATAGGTGGGTAATAGTGACAATTATCTGATACTCAGACATCACTGTTCTCATAAGAGCCTCATCCCACCCCAGTCTTCAGTATCAACCATCTCTCTCGTAGCTGTTGAAAAAAATAAAATACCTTTCCCACGCAGGATTCATGAGGACACTAAAGTACTCCAAGGACAATGGAGCCGAGAGAAGATAAATTCTCCCCTGATTGTCCCTTTTAATACCAAAAAATGATTTAATTATTATTCTGCCCACCTTTTCCTAGCAAGTGAGTGATGAAGAATAGGATTCAGTGAACTACACAGAACATCACTTTCTCATCTGAAAATCAGGTCACTCTGTCATCAGAACTTATTTTGAATTTCCACTCTATCCAGATGGACACCATAGGAGAGTTTCTCAAGTTTCTTATCTTGCTCTAGAGAAATATCTAAGTTATTAGATAAGAATCAGATCATTTGGAACCCAAAGAGGTTACCAGGGATCACTGCAGCATAAAATTCTGTATCTGCTTTTCGTGACTCCGTTTACCCTTGGAGAGGATAGCAAGCTTAGCACTCTTTAATTAATTTACATTTTAGTGCTATATTCTTAGTATCTAGTTCCGTGCCTGTCAGGAAGAAGCTGTGCTATGAGCTATAATTCTATCAGTGAATGGGCTGATGATCTAATCTTTAAGTCATGACCATTCACTGTCAGAGATGGCGTCAGGGACTTTGACGCAATATAAGCTTTTGGCCTAAATCTCTGAGATGATAGGAATATAGGACTTCAATCTAGATCAGGGACATAGTTAGGCTGCCAGAGAGAG